CCACAACAGGGAGAGGCCTGTGTATCGCAAAAAAAAAAAAAAAAAATCCCCTGCCCTTGTGGAATTTGTGTTCTGGTAGGACGAGGTGGACAAACAAATGTGTAAAACGACAGTATGTCAGATGCTATGTGCTATGGTAAAATAAAGCATTGAAAGGGAATAGGGAGTTTTGGGGGAGGGAGGCTGGTAAAGTGTAAAATCACATACTCAGGCAAGGCCTCACTGAGAAAGTGAGCTTTAAGCTGGAAATGAAGATCTGTGATCTAGCGTAGAGTTGGCAAACTTTTTCTGAAAAGGGCAGCTGTTAAATACTTTAGGCTTTGGGAACGGTACAGCCTCTGTTACAATGGCTCAATTATGCTAATTTCTCTAGGACGAAAGCATCCAGGGAGAACATGTAAATGAATGGATGTAGTTGTCTTCCAATGCAACTTTACTTATGGACACAGAAATTTGTATCTCCTAGAATTTTTATGTCATGAAACACTATCATTCTTTTGATCTTTTTTCCCCCAACCATTTAAAAAGATAAAGATTATATTTGGCTGTGGGCCATAAAAACACAGTTACTGGGCTAGAATTGGCCTGTGGGCCTCCCTGCAATAGAGCCCAAGACATTTAACAGTGTCCTTTCCCCTTAATTGCTTTGGGTGACGTGTAATGGTGTACCTTTGAAAGATAAGGTGGAATGCAACTCATGCTTTTGCAGATATCTGCCTGTTTTAGGTCCAACAGCTTTGCTGCTGCTTCACAAAGAAAAGGAATGAAAATTCATCTGTTTATCCAGTGACAGATCCTCATTTCACTTATATGAAATCTATGTCTTACAGCTTTTATTTTTAGGCTCTGCTGTGCAATAATAGCTTTTATTTTCAATCCATCATACTACAGTATTGCCGAAGACATTTTATGTAGCAATTAAGAGTTTTCCAGGTTGCACTGCACTGGGATGCAAGCTCTAGAAAAGTTGCTAAAAAGTGGCTTAACTGGGGCTTCCCTGGTGGTGCAGTGGTTGAGAATCTGCCTGCTAATGCAGGGGACACGGGTTCGAGCCCTGGTCTGGGAGGATCCCACATGTCGCAGAGCAACTAGGCCCGTGAGCCACAGCTACTGGGCCTGAGCGTCTGGAGCCTGTGCTCCGCAACAAGAGAGGCCACGACAGTGAGAGGCCCGCGCACCGCGATGAAGAGTGGCCCCCGCTTGCCACAACTAGAGAAAGCCCTCGCACAGAAACGAAGACCCAACACAGCCATAAATAAATTAATTAACTAATTAAAAAGAAAAAGTGGCTTAACTAATTAGGGTTTTAATTGTCTAATAAGGTTTACAGTGGGCTGCACAAAACTCGCGTGGCAGCTGTTAGATGTCATCAAGAACCCAGGTTCCTGTCCTTCTGCTTGACCACCGCCATTCTTGCGTATGGTGTTGGTTTTCACAATTGCCAAATGCTTTCTGCACCTCCGGGCACCACGGGTGCATTTCTGCAAGAGAGAAGGAAGAAGAGTGACCAAGTGCAAAATGGGCTTTTGTCTTTTCATTCATTAGGCGGAGCCTTCCCAAGGAGCAGACGCCTCACATCTCACTGGCCAGCACTGTGTTCTGTGATCACCAGTAGCTGCAGAGGACCTGGCTCAACAAGTTTTTATAGCTGAGCACATTGCTTTCTAAAACAAAATCGGGCTTCGGTTATTAAGAAAGGAAAGGAGATGGGCTACTGGATAAATAGTGTTATCTGCCATGGCTTCTAAGTGTGTTTGAAGAAAGAAAAAACAGTCGCGTGAGTTACAGGTACCGTCACCCATGGCTAAATTGACATGGGTGAAGGCCTTGACTGTCACCCCACAATTTACTTCTCTTCCACAAATTTCTCTCCCCAAACTTCTTTTGATATTGATTGCAAGGTGCGTTTTGTTTCAGAACGGTTGAAACGTAAATAAAACTCTTTGTGTCAAGGAAGTGACGGTATATGTTATTGTTATCTGAACCCTGGGTTTATGCCGGCCTGTGCAGTGCCCTTGACGGCTTCCTCTTGCCACGAGGGAAGCCCTTCCATTACCTATGACCCTGGCTTCTCCCAGGTCCCACCTCCTGCGCTGGTCTGTCCCTGCCGCTCATCCCTGGGCTTCCACAGTTCCAGCCCCGGTCACCTGGGAAATCTCAAAACAGCCCTGCTGCCATGACTCATCTTCCTTCCTGAGGCTAATGTCACAAACATCCCCTTGAAACTTCCTTCTCTGGAGTACAATTTCTCCCCTTTATTTGGGTGACCTGCTATCATATTAATTTTCTGTGGCCTTAGCTCTTTTTTTTTTAATTTTTAAAAATTTTGAACATGTGCTAAATTTATTTCTAAACTTCAACAAAAGCAAAGCAAAATACGATAATTTGATTCACCTTGTCTCAAAAAAGGGAACTTTTCCCTGACACTGCATTCTGAAAGATTTTTTTAATGTGATGTCAAATAACAAATTCAACAATAATAATTAAGACGTTATACAGCACTGTTATGTGCCAGGCAATAAATATTGTAAGCTACACATAATTTATCTATAACCCTCACAATAATCCAATAAAGCAGGTAATACCATTATTCCCATTTTAAAGATGGAAAAACTGAAGCATAGAGAGATTAAGTAGCTTGCTCAAACTCACCCAGTAAATAAGTGGGGGAACAAGGATTTGTAGCTCTTTTTTTTCTTTTCTTTTTAATCATCTGGCCTTTCTTGTAAGTGTAAGGAGTCAGGGAGGCCAGCAAGTGGCGAAACGCTCCAAGTCCAGCTTCACGTCCTGCTGATTTATACGAAATGCCCCTGGTCTCTATGGCCATGGACTACTGCCCCCTTCCAGGTTGTTTTCTATGGGAGGCTTTCTTTCTCTCTTAAATTTCTTCTCTTTAATCTTTTGAATGTTGACACATTCACACTTTTCCAAAAGGTTTACAAACATAGAGTGAAAACTCTTGCTCTCACTTTGTCCCCATCCTTCAGTTCCCACTCACTCCCCAGGCAACTGCTTTTGTTAGTTCTTATATAAACCTTCAAGCATTTTTCTAAAAAATGAAAATACAAGTAAATACAAAAGTGTTCCTATTTTTCTCCATTTTTTTTTTTTTTTAATGTGCCTAGTCTACACACAGTTCTGCTTTTTTTTTTTCCATGTATACATCTTGGAGACCTTTTCATAGCAGTGTTAACAGTACTTACAGAATTTCTCCTTTTTTCTTTTTAAGCTGCAAAGTATTAAAGTGATCTCTTTGAAACACAAAGCTGGTCATGCCTCTCCTGCTTTCCTCTTAAAATACAGATATAATTACTTACATTTCACTCCTCACGCTACCATCAGCCATCACCAGTGTTGGTGAGGAACTGTCCTTTGCTTCCTGAGCGTTGATAGGGTATAATGATGCATTTGAACTTTTTTCTTAAAACAGCGACCATTTTTCCCAGTTTTATTAAGATATAATTGACATACAACACTTGTATAAGTTTAAGGTGTACAGCATAATGATTTGATGTATGTATATATTGTGAATTGATCACCACAATTAGTTTATTAACATCCATCACCTCACGTCATTTGAATTTTAATATTCTACGATGTAACTTTCAAATATTGGCTATAAGGAGGAGGGGTGTTGAGACATGGACACTCTTAGACTAATGGTAATGTAAATTGAGGTGGCCTTGATGAAAGACAGTTTTACCCTGAGTCCTTCAGGAGTCTGAGAAATATCTCTGCCCTTTCACATGGGTTTCATTCAACAGAGCTTTGTCCTAAAGTAGTCTTGAGCGATACCATCAAAGATATATAAAGATGATATTATATCTAGTGGTGAAACCTACAAGCATGCTAAGTATTCAACAATAGAGTAATAGTTAACTGGGCATCTACATGATGGAATTGCCAGGAAGATATTAAAATTCATACTTCTGAAAATTTTTCAATGACAGAGGGCAGTGGTCATGATACATTTATTGTTCAGTGAAAGGGGCAAGGTGCAGTTTTTTTTTACCAGGTGTGATTGTGTGAAAGGAAAGACCAGGTGAGCTGTAGGGGATTATAGTCCAGCAGTAAATACCCTGTGTGTGTGTGTGTGTGTCCCTATGTGTTTATGGCCAGGAGGTAGGGGTAGTAAAGAAACTGCGTACATGTCTTGATTTATCCTCATATTGAGCCTTTAAGTACCCACATTTTGGAGTCGTGGTGGATGTTATATGTCTGTACATTATAAATGGAAAACCAAGGTTTGACTATGGATAAGTTTCATTTTTGATCATGCTCATGAACAATTGAAATGTGCTGGGTATGTAGAGCTCCAAATATGGATATTAAATCCAGACCCTTTCCTCTATTTAAATTTTGGCAGTGGCTGTCTGGATAGTAGCATTGTAGGTAACTTTTTGTTTGCTTTACAAAGGCCAGTGGGGACCCACTAAAGAAGGATTTTAGGGGGCTTCCCTGGTGGCACAGTGGTTGAGAGTCTGCCTGCCGATGCAGGGGACGCGGGTTCATGCCCCGGTCCGGGAAGATCCCACATGCCGTGGAGTGGCTGGGCCCGTGAGCCATGGCCCGTGAGCCATGGCCGCTGAGCCTGCGCGTCCGGAGCCTGTGCCCTGCGACGGGAGAGGCCACAACAGTGAGAGGCCCACGTACCAAAAAAAAAAAAAAAAAAAAAAAAAAAAAAAAAGAAGAAGGATTTTAGGGGAGAGTGACGATTGTCTTGATAAGAACACACACTAGGACTTGGATCAAAATAGGTGAATGCTTTCAACCTCAGAGTCAATAAAACTCTACCTCGTAGAGTTGTAAGGGGAAATTAAGTAGGGTGGATGATACTTTTTAGCATACCGAAGTTACAAAATAATATATAGTCTGCAATTCTATGAGTGAGGAGAAAAAGTTAACTTTTTCAGACATGAGAAGTGGCTTAATTCAAGAAATGGAGATAATATCAGTTTCAACTTGGATTTACTACCATACAGTAATTCTCTCCTTTTATAATAGTGCGCTTAAAAGATGTCCTTTCTTGCCGGCCTTTTATTTCTGTCCATACTAACTATGACATTGCGTCATTAGTCATTCATAGACTTGAACCCAGTGATCAGAGACACATGTCACTGAGGCTTTTGGGGAGCAGTTGGATTGAGGTGGGATGGAGGAGATTGGCTGGGACAATCAGTCTGTGAAAGTTTGTTCTTCAGCATTTTATTTTCTTTGTCCAGAGGTCTTTCTAGCTGCTTCACTTCTCAAAATGATTCTTTTCTTTGGCCATTATAACATTTACTTCACCACTTAAGTTTGTTGTTTTTGCAGATTTCCCGGGATCGTTTAGAAAAAGCACACTTGTTTTCTCAGGTTTTACATGCTGTGGTTAAGATACCTGAATATTGTCACCGCATCTCAATGAGTTCATACGTACCTTCAGATATGGGAACATATGTATATGTATAGCTGACTCACTCTGTTATAGAGCAGAAGCTAACACACCATTGTAAAGCAATTATACCCCAATAAAGATGTTAAAAAAAAAAAAGAAGATGGGTAACATTTGGAAAACCTGCAGATGTGTTTGCAGCTCTTCAAGAGCATACCTGACCCCTAGTGACTGGGGAAGGAAAGATGAAACATCATGGGAACAAGAAGGGTTAAGAAAGGGAGTTCAAAGTAGGATGGTTCTTGTTGTTTACTCTCACCTTGGAAGTGGAGAACGTTTTACTCTTGTGAATTGATGAAAGGATGCTCTCATGACAGTGGCTACAGCTGTGGAACATCTGAAAGAGGCTGCTGAGGGGAATAAAAATGGTGCTGCTCCCAGGAATCAGTGAAGTGTCGACATCTCAGATGGGCTCTCTGTGGTTTTCAATTGGTTGGGGACAGACAGGGCTTTCGTGACTGTAAATGTCAACTTCTGGGGCTGGGAGTGGGTAGTTATGGCCCCCTGAGAACTAAGTGAATCTCCCACCTCCGATCTCGTCTGTCCCTCCCAGACCAGCAGAGTTGTGCCCCAGAATTCTTGGAGAAATCACTGTGTCCGCACTTGCTGAGACGTCTGCTGGATCACCAGGGAGTGGACAGTGCGTGCCGTCTGCAAAAATCACCTCTTGTTTTTTAGCTCAGTGGCCTCTGACGATGAACACTCAAATCTAGTTCAAATTGGAAATATTTCCACTTGGTTTTGGAGGAGCATTTCTCCTTATGTGTTTGTCTTCTCTCTGCAGATAAAGAAGAAGCAGCAGGATGTGGTTAGATTTCTGGAAGCCAACAAGATAGAGTTTGAGGAGGTGGACATCACGATGTCAGAAGAGCAGAGGCAGTGGATGTACAAGAACATCCCCCTGGAGAAGAAGCCTGCCCAGGGCAACCCTCTGCCACCTCAGATATTTAATGGTAACCGATACTGTGGAGTAAGTATCAAATGATTGTTATCACATCATTTCTTTGCCTGATTCAAAACAGGGTCATCTGGGGCTTCCCTGGTGGCGCAGTGGTTGAGAGTCCGCCTGCCGATGCAGGGGACACGGGTTCGTGCCCCGGTCCGGGAGCATCCCACGTGCCGCGGAGCGGCTGGGCCCGTGGGCCGTGGTCGCTGAGGCTGCGCGTCCGGAGGCTGTGCTCCGCAACGGGAGAGGGGCGCGGACCGCCCAAAAAAAACCATGGCCGCTGAGCCTGTGCGTCCCGAGCCTGTGCTCCGCAACGGGAGAGGCCACAGCAGTGAGAGGCCCGCCTACCGCAAAAACAAAACCAAACAAAAGAGTCATCTGGAGTGCAGTTGGGTTTTTTTCAATGCAGACTGACCTCCTTACCTAGTGCCTAGTCAGTTCCACAAGTCTAACAGAGGGTGAATTCGAGAGGGTGTATGAGTCCAAGGTCACAGACTGTGCCTTCCTGTTTGCTTTGGGAAAAGGGGGTGGGAAGAGAAGCTGCGTATGTGTGTGTTTACTGTGTTCGACGTTTTAAAGCGTATTTTTTTATTAATACATTTTGGGGGGCAGAGGGGAAGAGGTAATTATTCTTGAACCTTTATCTCTCTGTAGTGTAAAAAAAACTGCTAATGGCTGATTATAAACCAGAGTTTCACTTTTTTATGATCATGAGCCAGCTGGATCGTTATGAACAACTAAAATACATCAGATGCCTTCCTGCTGCAGGTGGCATTGAGAAGACGAAGCCACTTTCGACTAATTATTTTCCTTCTCACTTCTTAGGTTAAGAAAAAACATTGAGAAATGTCTCTCTAATGAGTAGTTAGGATTTGCTTTCTGGGGTAGCTTTAAGTATGTAAGTCAGTGTTTATTTTGAGACCTGAACTGCAGTTCTTTAAGGATGGCCAGGAGAAGGGGAAGGGGCTACAGTGCAGAGGTGCTCAAGGTGAAATAAATAACTGGGTGCTCGTTAGGGTGGAGAAAAGGGATAACAGTGAAACAGTTCTCCAAGAACATGAGGCAGAATGAAATGCTGAAACATAAAGCCATAAAGATTGTGCCCAGCGTTTTTACGTGTCATGAAGAGAAAACCAAACCTGGCACTAGACACAGATTTGAGTACTACTTTATGTTGGCTTGACACCTTTGGAAAGTCACTTATCTCTTTATATCTCAATTTTCTCATCTTTAGCAAAGGACGATAATATCCATCTCACTTCCCAGGATATTTGTCACTGTTTCTAAAGTACTCCTAAAACTCTATACCCACCCAAACTACCATTCAACTGTAAGACCAGAATAAAGACATTTTCACAGCCTCAAAGTCTGAGGAACAGAGAACCAATGGATTTTTGTTTTAAGTTTTCTAGCACTGTTTGACTGATAGCTTTATTTTGAACTGTACAGTTTACACACATTTTCATCTATTATCTTATTTTGGTCTGCAGGCACAAAAGTACATTTTCTAGACTCTGTAATCATGAATGGGATACACTCTTGGTAACCATATACTTTCCCTAATATGAGATCATGATGTAAAAAAATTCCACAAGAATAATAACCTTTATTCTTATATAATAATGCAGCTTATTTCTTGTTGATGCTGCCTCTGCAGACACTGAGGTTTGACCATCCTCTGCTCTTGACTTCCCTCTCCATTGCTCTACCCACTTCCTGCATACATGGTTCAGGGCTGTTGACATCTCCTAAGTTTATTTTAAAAGTGGAGTTGTTGCTGTTTTTTTTTTTAATCCTTGTTGTTTCATAGACCTCTCAAGAGGAAGGAGGCAGAGACATCTTTGCTCTATCACCATAAAAGCCAAAGTCTTCCGAGCCCTTTGAGTAGAGGAATGTATTCAATGAATAAAAAAGAACGTGATGTGAAATAAAGTTAATTCCTTCCCTTTATTTCCACCTCTTTATGACTTTCTAAATCTCTATGTATCTGTGCCCTGTAGAGTCTATGGAAGTTTTTTCAGGTAGACTGGGAGCTGGCTAGAGGCTTCCATATTGATTAAACTGTGCCAGATAAATGGCTGCTTGAACAGTGTCAGTCCCATGGCAGTTGTGACAGCAGTGCTGGTGTATTCATTCTGTCTTTATAGTCTGTTCTGGCAGGAGTTTTGAAGACAGTGTCTGCTCTTATCAAGGTCAAATAAATTCGACTTTGACAAAAGCAAAAACATTTGAGGGCAATGAACCATGGCCTCGTGCGTCCCACCTGCTTCTGTGCACCTTGCATTGCCCGGTAATGGTTTACGAGTGGTCGTATCTGGTTGTGGAAACCTGCCATATTGCAAGTGACAGGATCCAGTAAGCATGAAGATTCTCCTGTTTCCTGGAATTGGCTGGAAACTTATTACTTTGTTTTAAACTGGATGAGCTAGGCGTGTGAGACATACACAGCTGCTAAGCTGCTTGCTAACCAGTGTGGACAACTGCCTTCTCTCTCTCCTTTAGCACATGAAAATCCTGCCTATTGGGAGGAATTACCCACCGAATGGAAGCTCCCTGGCTTGTCCAATCAGTTCTTCCCACCCCAGATTTGGACACTGAGGAAATGATGCCGAAACACAGCATCAGTTGGAGGTGGCTCAGTGAGTGTCTAGGGGTGATGGGGCCAGGCAGAGCCTGGTGGCTGGACAGCATATGGCTGGTGTCCTAAGGAGGCTGATCCTGGGGTGTGGCCTAGGTGTGTTCTTGGTTCCCGAGACATGGAAGTTCCTCGTATTTTCTAAACTGGTCCTCCAGGCTTAATGTGGATTCTGTGAGCTCCCTGCTATACCTTCATACATTCTTTTTCTTTTAAGTTGCCAGTGTCTATTTCAGTTGTTTGTAGGCAAGTACCCTCATTGGGGCAGACTGGTTGTTCCTGCTGTTTCCCTGAAGTGTCCTACCATAAGCACGATTCTTCTCTGGAAATGGATTCCTAAAGGTCAACATCCCAACGCCTATAGGCTTTTCTCATTTTAGAAAGCTCAGATCCTCACATTCAAGGTTTAAACTCTGTTCTCTCTCTCTGTGGAACTGGCATGTGTGGAATGCACTAGAAATAAAAACACACATATCTACACAAAAGGAAAACATTTCCTCCCGTTTCTTTTCTACCTCCCCATTCAGAAGAAAAAAAAAATTTGGATTTCTTTATATTTTTTCTTATTTTTTATTGAAATTTTTTTATTGTGGTAAAAACATACATCATAAAATTTATCATCTTAACCACTATTAAGTGTACGGTTGAGTAATGTTAAGTGTATTCACATTGCTGTAAAACAGGTCCCCAGAACTTTTTCACCTTGCAGAACTGAGACTCTATACCCATTAAATAACTCCTGTTTGTCCCCTCCCCCCACCCCACTCCCCTGATAACCATCGTTCTACTTTCTATATCTATGAATTTGACTACTTTAGAGACCTCATAAAATTGAAATCATGTAGTATTTGTCCTTTGTTTTCTTTGTTTTGTTTTTGTTTTTTGGCCACGCCACGAGGCGTTCGGGATCTTAGTTCCCCAACCAGGGATCAAACCCGTGCCCCCTGCAATGGAAGCGCGGAGTCTTAACCACTGGACCGCCAGGGGAGTCCCAGTATTTGTCCTTTGTGACTATCTTACTTCACTTGGCGTCATGCTCTCAAGGTGCATCCATCTTGTATGTCTTATTCCGTTCAGGCTGCTATAACAAAATACCACAGACTGGGTAACTTACAAACAATAGAAATTTATTTCTCAGAGTTAAGTCCAAGATCAGGGTTACACTAGGGTTGGGTTCTGGTGAAGGCCCTCTTCTCTTCTAGGTTGCAGATTGCCAACTTCCTGTAGTATCCTCACGTGGTGAAGGGGGCAGGGGAGCTCTCTCAGTCCTCTTTTTTGTCTGCGTTGGGTCTTCATTGCTGTGTGCGGGGTTTCTCTAGTTGCAGCGAGCAGGGGCTACTCTTCGTTGTGGTGCACGGGCTTCTCCTTGCGCGGGCTTCTCTTGTTGCCGAGCACGGGCTCTAGGCACACAGGCTTCAGTAGTTGTGGCTTGCAGGCCCTAGAGCACAGGCTCAGTAGTTGTGGCGCACTGGCATAGTTGTGCTCCACAGCATGTGGGATCTTCCTGGACCAGGGATCGAACCCGTGTCCCCTGCATTGGCAGGTGGATTCTTAATCACTGCGCCACCAGGGAAGTCCCAGACCTGTTTTATAAAAGGCATTAATCTCATCCATGAGGGCTCTGCTGTCATGACCTACTCCCCTCCCAAAGGTCTTTGGGCATCAGCATTTCAATGTATGAATTTTGGGGGGATACAAACATCTAGCCTATAGCATTGAAGCATGTGACAAGATTTCCTTCCTTTTTAAGATCTCCATTCATATATCACATTTTGTTTTTCCACTCATCCATTGATGGACTCTGGGTTGCTTCTACCCCTTGGCTATTGTGAGTAGTGCTGCTATGAACATGAGTTTGCAAATATCTCTTCAAGATCCTGTTTTCAATTCTTGGGGATATGTACATATTAGTGGGATTGCTGCATCATATGGTAGTTCTACTGTTAATTTTTTGAGGAACTGCTGTACTGTTTTCCATAGTGGTTACACCATTTTATAAACCCATCCGTAGTGTACAAGAGTTCTAACTTCTCCACATCCCTGCCAACACTTGTCATTTTCTGTTTTTGTTTTGTTTTGAGAGTAGCCATGCTAATGGGCGTGAGGTGATATCTCACTGTGGCTTTGATTTGCATTTCTTTGATGATTAGTGTTGTTGAGCTTGTATATAATCTTTGGAGAAATGTCTGTTCAAGTCCTTTGCCCAGTTTTCAATTGGGTTATTTGGCTTTTTGCTGTTGAGTTGTAAGAGTTCTTTGTATATTCTGAATACTAACCTCTTATCAGATATGTATTTTGCAGGTATTTCTCCCATTCTTAGGTTGCCTTTCACTCTGTTGATTATATCTTTTGATGAACAAGAGTTTTTAAGTTTAATGTAGTCCTATTT